GGTCGCTCCCTGACCGCCATGTGTCCCATTTCAAATGAAGTAGCCGTTGCTGCCACGAGTCCCATGCGACCGGACACACTATTTAGAAATGATCGGACGTTGAGCCGCAGCATCCGGTCGAGTCTAGAGAGCACCCAGGGCCGACCGGACGCGTCATTAGAAAATGACCGAACGCTGAGCCTCAGCGTTCGGTCGAGTCCAGTAAGCACCTAGGCCTGACCGGACGCCTCTGGTCACTCCGGATCGGACACTCCTAGCGTCCGATCAACTGTTTCACTAAACATCGACTTCGCTGATTCACACCGGTTGGAGACCGGACGTATCCGGTCGCTCTCTGCAATTTAGTACCGAGCCACATACCGGATGCTTCCGGTCGCCATAACGGACGCGTCCGATCACCCTGTGACCAGCACGACTAACTCCTTTTCAACTCTATCTTCTTCACCCTTACTCAAATGTGCCAACCACCAAGTGTATCACCTTGTGCTCATGTGTTATCATATTTTCACAAATATTTTCAAGGGTGTTAGCACTCCACTACATCCTAAATGCATATACAATGAGTTAGATCATCTAGTGGCACTTTGATAACATCATTTCGATACAAGTTTCACCCCTCTTAATATTATGACTATCGAACCTAAATGTGATCACACTCGCTAAGTGTCTTGATCACCGAAATGGAAAGGCTCCTACCATTTATACCTTTACCTTGAGCCTTTTATTTTTCTTTCTTCTTTTTCAAGTCCAAGCACTTGATCATCATCATGGCAACACCATTGTCATGTCATGATCTTTATTTGCTTCACCACTTGGAGTAGTGTTACCTATCTCATAATCACTTTGATAAACTAGGTTAGCACTTAGGGTTTCATCAATTCACCAAAACCAAACTAGAGCTTTCAGCCTCGCAAGTCAAAGAAGATGGAGAAATTTGGGAAGTGGATCAAGGCCATCTTCACCACATGCACTTATGCAGCGAGTACCGCATATCAGGACCGGTTGGAGAACTGGGAAGCCAACCGGGAAGCTAGAGAGCGTGCAAGGCTGCCACCTCTTTCTCTAGTTCAGTCACCACCGAGGTTTGATGACCTCCCTAGTCTTTCTGAGACAGATTGAGGAGGAGGAGGAGGACCAGGAGCAGCCAGAGCTTGATCCTCACATGAGTTTGAGGACCACCTTGCAGTTCATGAGGAGGAGCACCAGGCGTGAGCGCCACACTTCGATCACTCATCGCCAAAGGAGGGCGGTGGTGTGTCTTCTTCCTCCTCCTCCTCTGATGATGATGATGATGGTGGAGAGGAGGACGTTGTAGGTGCTAGTGGAGCTGCTGGTAGGGATGATGTCGATTGGAACACCATCCAAGAGGATGAGGAGTGAGTGTTGGTCTTTCTTTTTTTCTTCTCTTTTTGGTGCTTTATACCAAAAGGGGAGGTTGTTGCAACTAGAGTTATGTTCGTATCCATTTAAAGTAGTCTTCGTTAGGTGAGAGTTTGAGAGTCCATTGGAAACTCTATTTATGTAATAATGCTACTTAAGTACTTCTTATATGTGTGGAATATAGACATATATTAATCTATGCTGTCGTTTGTGATACAATTATGTTAGAATGTATATCTTTATATGTATCACATGCTGCGTGGTGTTTGTTCTGATCTGTGCTGTTACAACAAGTGCGGCAATGCCGTACTCTGGTGCGGCAGTGCCGCACCCAGCTGCAACAGCAAATCATGTTGTGCATAAACTGTCATTTGCATCACGTTTTACATATCTGACATAGTATGCAGCACCCCCATAGGAGCATGTATATAGGGGGAGCCCCATCACTTTCACTAAAAAATGAATCTTGGCTTTTTATGCCAATTTGAGAATTCAATTCTCTATTCACATATTTAGGGGAGGCTCTACACCCATGGCTCAAAAATCTCAGTATTTATTTCATATCTTTTGTAAGCTCTAATTGGGTTGTCATCAATCACCAAAAAGGAGAAGATTGAAAGTGCAATCAAGCTTTAATTGTGGGTTTTGGTGATAATGACCACGCAATTAGAGAACTAATGAGGTTTATTGAGATGACAAGCAGGGAATTTATATTCAAAGATGCTACACGAAACAGAGGAGCCCCAAATTATAAATGTAGATGGCTTCAAACTCAAAAGAGGTTTAAATTCTTTTATATTTTAAATTTGAGTATAGGAAAAGCCGTACTATAAAGGAGACATAATGCTTAAGCTAATACGTGCTACCAAGTGCTCAAACATACACATACATCCTTAGTTTCACAGCCAAGACAGTCTACACTTCACTCTTACCCTTGTTGTCTTACGTGGTGCGGCACTGCCGCGACTTAAGTGACCGTTGGGGGCTGGGGGGTATTTATACCCTTCCCCTTCCTCCCCAATGGCTCTCTGCCTCTTCTTTCTCACTTTAGCACATCCAAAACAGAGCAGAAGCTCTCTCTCCCTCTATTGTTGACCTTAAGCCCCAAGCAAATTCATTGATTTCTCCATCAATCTTTGAGGAAAATGCTCCAAAACTCGATTAGAGAGCAGCTCCATTGATCCCTTAACTCTAAAGAGTATTTGGTTCATGTTTTGACCGACGGTTGTGTTTGTTACTCTTGAGCTTGGCTCCTAGCCGACTAGAGCATTGCTCGTGGAGCTTGTCAACTTGTGTGGTAGCCTCGGGAGGTTTGTAACCATCTCTTGAAGTTAGTAAACTCACCTCTCATCTCAAGAGTTAAGTCTCTTGACTTGAGAACGATGAAGGGTTGAAAAGCCCCAAGCCTTAGTGGCTAACCTCAACAACGTGGAGGTAGACAAGCCTTTGGTGACGAGTCGAACCACGGGATAAATCATTGTGTCATTTGTGCTTGATTTACATTACTTGCATGATATATTGTGGTTGAGGTGATTTCTAGGGTTTCTAGTCGATCTACTTGTGTGTGATGTTTCTATCTCTTTTAACTCTTGATCTGTGATTATCATACTTACAGTAAGTTAGGAAATTTCTCTGATCTAAGTTTTCGTTCACGGATTTTGAATTGTGATTCAAAGTTATCTGCATGTGCGGCAGTGCCGTTGTTCTGGTCCGACAGTGTCGCAGTCCGGTAGTGCCGCCCTCCAGAGCGTTAGTGGCGCAGGTAAATTTGATAAAAATTTAAGTGTTTGTTTTGACAGCCCTATTCACCCCCTCTCTAGGCCAACCAAAAATCCTATAAAAATTTACAAACTTCTCTAGGGCTGCAGAATTTGCCAATTTGCGCCTATTCACTTGGTTTATAAGTCGTACTTTTTCAGCCAACGAATAGTATTTTCTCTCTCACAATAAATCAGCCAACAATATTTTCAGCCATGACTTATCAGCCAAGTAATTAATCTGAACTGAAATGGTTTTCATCTTTGCAGCTGGTACTGTCTGAACGAATGGCATGAATCAAGCGGGAATGTCGGTCCTGTCCCCTTCATACCTGCAGATCAATGGTGCTGGCTCCAAATCTCCCATACATATGAACGGACATTCTATTTTGCGTTTCTGTTTTCCTTTTTTTTTTGGCGGGAACCTGTGTAATTCTTTCTCCTTTTGCTGTGGTTGACAGACACTGTGATATGTTTATTAAAACACTCATCTATAGCTGAGTGTGCACCTCTTCTCTCAATCATATACATACTCGCTGATAGAGTCACGGAGATTTGTATCGGATGATGTCCAGTTGTCCACCGGGAAGTAAGATCATGTCGCATTCTGCTTGCGCTCCCTTAACTTTGACGAAAAGTACATCAGGTGTAGTTCACTCGTGCACTCTGCTGCTTATCAGCCTGTTCGGCTGGAGGAAAACGATCGTATGCAATCGTAAATTTTCAACCAGAACAGTATTTTTCTCTCACACAAACCAGCCAGCAGTACTTTTTCACGAACCAGCAACGATATGAACCAGCCAACCGAACAGATTCGTTTGAAATTACCGAGCTTTTGAGTTGTGGCATGCCGCTTCTCGAGTCATTAGCGTTGTTCTTGCAGTCCTGTTTCGCCCCGTGTCCGGGTGTCATCGTTTTGGCACGAACCACAGTGAGACTACATGGCACAAATCCATGGGCGTCATCGCTTAGGGCTTCTTTGGGAAAAAAGGTCTTAGTGACATATTATGAAATATATAAAAAGTTATGGATTCTTTGCACCAAGGATCCGTGGCGCAATGGTAGCGCGTCTGACTCCAGATCAGAAGGTTGCGTGTTCGATTCACGTCGGGTTCAAAAGCCCGATCCAAACGGAATTTTATTTTTGCTAAATTTTTTGTAATTCGTCTAATCTCCACCGCTCATCTACCACTAAAAAACATTCCTAAACAGCCGATCCTCTTTTTTGCTAAAATTCAGCAGTTCGTCTTTTTTCTGCTAATTTTTTTGCCATTCGTCTAGGCCCCTTTGGTTCACAGGAGAAGCATAAAAAAACATAGGAAAGAAATCATCGTGGTCATTTGGAATAGAGGAAACTTTCCTATATAATACTGTAGTGAGATGCCGATTTGATAGGAGAGCAAACATCACTTTGCAGTACGCAGTGTAGTGATTTGCGTAAATTATTGGTCAACTTTTGCGCAGTGCAGTGCAGTTCAACTTATCAGGTTGGTCATTTGCCTCGGACTTCTCCAAAACATGAGCTAAAACCGGATGTTTTATTTCCTGTATTTTTTGTGGGTAAACGAATCTTTTCCTCTAAAATTGGCACTGTGTTTTCCTCCGTTTCAGACACCACGTGATGTTAGCAAACCATAGGAACTAATTCCTCCATTTTTCCAACTCTTCTCCCGTGAACCAAAGGGGGCCTAATCTCCACGGCTCCACCCTGCCCTATCTCCTTCCTCTCCCCTACCCCGGCGGCCAGACACAGAGCGGCAGAGCGCCTCCCTCCCACCCGGCGCTGCCATCGCAATTCTCCATTGCCAACCACAGCGCAGTCCAATGCAGCACTAGACCCTAGCCTTCCTTTGGTCCAACCCGATGCTTGCCTGCTCAGGCACATCAACTCCATGGCCGCAGCGACAGCCTCCGTCCCCGTGCCCAGGCGCGGGCGGCGGCGCCTCGCGCCATGTGGCGCTCGCGGCCAGGAGCAAGCGGCGGGGTGCGGGCGCCGCGGGGGAGGAGGGGGTGGACGAGGCAGCGGAGGCGGCGGAGCTGGTGCGCTCGCTGCTGCGGAGGACGGCCGGCGGCAAGGAGCGGCTGGTGCCAGTGCTGGACCGCCACGTGCGGGTGGTCCGCACCGAGCACTGCTTCCTCCTCTTCGAGGAGCTCGGCCGCCGCGACGCCTGGCTCCAGTGTCTTGAGGTGCGCTCGTGATTCCCTGTATACTACTCCTTGACTTAGGATTGGTGTGGAGTGGATTATGGAGACTGCATGCTTTGCGCATTGCAAAGCTTTGGGTTAAGAACTTATTAGGATTGGTGTATATATGTAAATTATGAGCCATTGTTTGTTTACCTGCATGTGTGATAGGTAATTTAGTGCTGGTGCTACTTGAGTCCAATGTTTTCGTCGTCCAAAACAATGAAGAATGGACTACTCAAAATCTAGCTACTGACACTGATTATTGGATCTTATCATGCATTGCATTTTCCATACTCAGCAGCTTCTCTGTGGGTGCAGAGTAAAGTGTAGCTGTGGTACTTCGAGGTCTCAGGGCAACTTTAGTGTCTAGCACACACCAGAATGCTAGGACATGTCCATCTCATAAAGCATAGCTAAGCAAAATTTACTCCGACATACAGCAAATGTCAGCACCCAAACAAGAGGCCCACTAAATTTCAGCATGTTGGATATTTTTATTTTTTTGTTCATTCAATATCTTCATGTTCTGCTAGGTATTCAGATGGATGCAGAAACAGCGGTGGTATGTTGCTGACAATGGCATCTACTCCAAGTTAATATCTGTGATGGGAAGGAAAGGCCAGATACGGATGGCAATGTGGCTGTTCTCTCAGATGCGGAACAGCGGGTGCAAGCCGGATACGTCTGTATATAACTCTCTTATCGGTGCACATCTGCATTCACGAGACAAGAGTAAGGCTTTGGCCAAAGCTCTTGGATATTTTGAGAAGATGAAGTGTATAGAGAGATGCCAACCGACTATTGTGACATACAACATTCTTCTAAGGGCTTTTGCGCAGGCTGGTGACACAAAGCAGGTAGACATCTTGTTCAAGGATCTGGATGAAAGTGTAGTCTCCCCTGACATATATACTTACAATGGAGTGCTTGACGCATATGGGAAGAATGGCATGATCAAAGAGATGGAATCTGTGTTGCTGCGGATGAAAAGCAAACAGTGCCGTCCAGATGTGATCACATTCAACATACTCATAGATTCATATGGGCGGAAGCAGACATTTGATAAGATGGAGCAGGTGTTCAAGAGCCTACTGCGATCAAAGGTGAGGCCTACACACCCAACGTTTAATTCCATGATAACAAATTATGGGAAAGCAAGGCTCAGAGAGAAAGCAGAGTCTGTAGTTGAGAAGATGGAAGAATTGGGATTCAAACCAAACTATGTGACACAAGAATGCCTCATCATGATGTATGCTCATTGTGATTGTGTCTCAAAGGCCCGGCAAGTGTTTGATGAGCTTGTGAGCTCACAAAACAAAGTGCACCTTTCTTCGTTGAACTCGATGCTTGATGCCTACTGCATGAACGGCTTGCACACAGAAGCAGATCAGCTGCTGGATACTGCACTGCAGAAATGTGTTGTGCCCAATGGTTCCACCTACAAGCTGCTCTACAAGGCCTACACCAAGGCGAACGATAAGGTACTAGTGCAGAAGTTGCTCAAGAGAATGAATAATCAGGGGATAGTCCCGAATAAAAAGTTCTTCCTGGACGCTTTGGAAGCTTTTGGCACCTCTGAGAGGAAACCCAGGACATCACCAGCCATAAACTCTGCAAGCAAACCAAGTGCAGATTCTGCTGGTGACTCAGAATCAGGTACTTCTAACAAGCCAGAGGTAAGCGTTTGGCAAGTAGCTGCTACATAAGGCTGTTGGTTTGAACAAGCTCGTCAAATTACCTGACATCAGGAAGAATACATTTGATCTGCACCAGAGCCGTTAATATAGTGTACTTGGAGCTACAGGAGTTCCTCTGCTCCCAACAGGATGCTCCTTTCCCTACTGAAGAATGCTGAGACCTTTTGTGCTTCGGCAAAATCTGCTTGTACATGTACTCTGTTATTAGCAGTAGGTATTTTTGTTTCTAGTCATCGTTGGGCATCACAAAAGTTCCGGCTCTCTGTACTCTTCGATTATTATGACAGGTCTGTCATCTCTGTTTCCTGAGCATCTCCAATACATAAAACTGGGAACTGGAATGGCATGCATGCTGCACATTGTTTCAAAAAATGTTTGCTTTTGTAAAAACACAAAGCAGCATAAGGCCATGTTTGAATCGATTAGTTAGCTAGCTAATAGCAGCTAACTATTAGCAAGAGGCTGCCCGACCAGCTAATAGGGTGGTTGAATAGTTGGCTAGAGGTGCAAATGAACTATAAGCATCACTCCACCAGCTAATGAACTATTGTTGGAGCCCCCAAACTAATCGTTGCCACTAATAGCTCCAAACAGGATTAGTATGTCCATGATGTGATAGATCAAACAAAGGGTAACGGACACCTTCATTTTGCGTTAAAAAAATGAAAGCTCATACTTATATCAAAAACAGTACTAGCAATCATGCTAATATACGATGTTGACCAGATTGACAGTAAATATTTCTACAAGTCCAGATGGCCCACAAAATATCGGCCAATCTGACGCATAAGCCTTAACAATGCATCATACATTTCGGGATCAAAACATTTGGCTTGCCTACCACTGAATCCTCCCAAATATCAGCTTCAGATGGCTTCTTGTGACATCCCTTTGCCTGCAGCTCAAAGCTTCTCGAGAACAATGCACCAGTTGGATTTGTCATAGAACTGGTCAACAATAGCAGCATTCTTTATGCCAGAAACCAATCTGAAATTAAGACAGTTAATGATATGAGATATTCCGAATCAAAAGAGCTGACATTCAGCAAAAAGAAAGTAATACATGCTTATGAAGTGCAAGCAGCAGAATATATTCTTCTTTCTCTATAATTATTGTTACCAGATTTTTGCAACTATAACCTGTATAAGGCAATCAGGTGACAAGTAGCGATATCTATATGTACAAAGGCAACATTTCTGGTGAACCTCTAATCAAGAAAGTTTGGGTGAAAGAGTAAATATAGCCGCTAAAATGTCAACTGCATCAAACTGCCTTGACAGCTAGTTACCATCTTTAGTTATTCCATTTTTTTCCAATCTTTCGCGACTAAACAAACATATTAACATTGACCAAGACAGAAAAAATCAGAATAAACCCATGAAACAGGAAGCTTCTATGAGGCATCAATACTATGGCTTATTGGTCAAATGTAGAATTTGACTTTATACAGGTATACAGGTAGAAACAAAAGGGGAAGGAAGTAAGCTTTTTCGTGTGAATGTAGACTTGCTGAGTAAGAATACTCCACCTTTGAAGTTCTCCTTCAACAAAAACATGATAATAACGATTGTAGACCACTGTACCCTTCTTCTCATCTTTCTTTGCAAATCCATTCTCCAGAGCAGCAGACGCAGCACCAATTTCAGCTCGGTGAAATGGTAGATGCCATGGAACAAAGTACTCCTGCTGGTTTTTCTCATTTTCATCAGTCTTTGAATTACTACAGTCAATGATCTTATCCTCCACCCCATCATGACATTTTTTTAATCGGTCATCTGTTTGCTTCATTACACCAGTGTCTTCATCAGTTTCTGCAATGCTTTCCAGAAGAGTTCCAGATTGACTACGTACTGGAGGACTGCTCTGTTCAACCCACTCTTCATTATACTTCTCACAGAGGGGAGTCCACTTGTTAAGCAATGACTTGTCTTCCTGCTCCCTAGCCCAGACTGTTATGAGCACCAGACCACCTCTCCGAACAACACGTATTAGCTCTTCTATGGCCTTCCTCCGTCTATCATCAGTACTCAAATGATGCAACACGGCAACTGAAATTGCTGCATCACCAAAATCATCCCTGTATGGGAGGTTGACAGCATCAGCAACCAACACCTCATGCCCTCTCCCAGCACATATCTCAATAAGCGGTGGACTTATATCACATCCTATGAATAAACAATCAGGGTTGAAGCCCAAATACTTGCCATTACCACAGCCAGCATCCAGTACAATCGACCCAGGCCTCAAGGAATTCAAGAATCCTGCAACCTTGGGCCATTTAGCAAATCTTGTTGCACTGAAATGGGGAGCTATGGCATCATAGACACGATGCACATACTTTTTCTCAATCTCTGGGGTGGACTGAACACTTGAGGAGCCACTGTGGTTTCCCTCAGCAGGAATCATATCCTGAGCCTCCAACAAATCATTTGGGCTCATCAGGTTGTTAGTGCTAAGATGTTGAAATGTTGGCTTACAGCTAAAGAATTCTTTGATCCAAAAGATTGAAGAATGTGAATGAGAAGCGGGTATGGCTTTATGAAGGCTTCTTGCTGTTGTCCTCGAAAATACTAGTATCATGCAAGCCCTATGCCAGAGGAGATATGAATTAGCCACGCAGGTGGTTGACAACAACTCTGACTTGATAAAGAGATGAAACTAAAGCAGATTAGCTTGGTTCATGACAGAACCAGGATTTAACCTAGATTAGTGTTAGTCCTAGCCAGCACTAACATATGCAATTCAGTATAATCCATATTCACATTTCGGTATATAGATACAATATTTGACAAAGAAACCAGTATACAAATAATTAATCAAAAGCATGATACACATACATATTTAGAAGGTCTCATAATATCTGAATTCAACAAACTAAGTTCAAAACCTGCATAAATTACAATATAAATAGTTCTAAGATAAACATAGTCTGAAAAAGTAATACAATATTTCCGTTGTCAATGCCGTCTGAAAAAGTAATATAATATTTCCGTTCTCAATGCCCTCAGTTATCTGTCAAGTGACCACAGTTTCAGAATACAAATTTCAGTCATTCAGTATTTCAATGCTCCACCTCAAACAGTCATACGCTGAGCTTCAAGAAATCAAGTTAATGGAGATTAACTAGACGGATCAGGGGCGGGGTGTACACCCGATAATTTTTGCCAAAAACAAAAACAAAGTTAGTGGCATAATACATGCATACACTTACACTTGTGATTAGATCAGATCCGAATACAGATAGCCAAATAGCATAAATCAGGGTTCGGGAACTCCGTTTTGCACAGAAGGAAGGGAAGAGAGAGGGGCGGGCATACCGAGTGCTCGTCCCCGGCAAAGAGTCCGACGAAGACCTGGGCAGCGGCGAGTAGGGCGGCGGCGGCGGTCGGGAAGGGCGTGTTCGGCCCGTTGATGCAGAAAACGGCCGAATCGAACGTACGACGAGCCTATATAGCTATCAAGGCAGGGGAGTAGGGGAAGTGCGTAAACAGGAGTGCAATTTTCCCTGGCTAATTGGCCGACATTTTTTTCCCCTGCAGACAGCACGCGCATGGAATTTTTTATTTCAATATAATTTATAAATTTATTTTTCTAAAAAATATCCTACAAAGAATTGTATATTTGTACACCCATCGCCGATTATTATTAACTTATTATCACCAAGTGAATCGGCAGAATTACCTTTACCACATATTCAAACGGCGGAAATCTTCTAACATGTCTAAAAAAACAATTTCTTTATATGAGCTTACATGGGGATAAATTTTATTTGAAAATTTCGAGCTTGGAGATCTATAATTTTGTAGTTCATATGTTTTCCGTTTGAAACCATTTTGATGTCTAAATAATTGATACAGTACAATGCTCAGATCAGAAACCTGCATCGAATATTTCGGACTAAGATAACTCCAAATGAAAACATAATGAACTAAAATTTTGTAGATTTCATTGGCCTCTACAATTGTCATATAAATTTTATTTTTATATGTAAAAAAAATCATATTAGTGCCAAAATAATCGATACAAGTTTCAAATGTATATTGGTAGATCTGAGGATTGTATCGACTATTTTAGCATCAAGATAGCTTTAGACAGCAAAGTTATGAACTATGGAGTTGTAAATATCTTCGAGCTATATAATTTTTATATAAAATTTGTCTTCAAACGTCAAAGATAGCTCTGGCAGTTTATTTGGCGGTAAGGCAATACCACCATATCAATTAGTGACTAGGTATACTAGCACGGGAGTCGCACTCTGCTGTGCCGGGTTTTTTCACGTGAACAACAAGTACTAAAAATTGTTGAAAAGTGTATGCTACAATGACATACAATGTTTGTTGTCATGGTGAACAGTGACAGAGGCAATGGGAGGCCTCCAATTTATTTCTGCTTGAGGGAGTATCTTATGTATTAATAATCATTTCTACCTTTTGCACATCCACTACTGAAGCATTTTTTCATTTTTTGCAACTGGTCTAGGGCAAAATTTCTTACCGGTCTTTTTAAATTTGTGTTATAATTAATTTTATAATTTTGTATTTCACATAAATATGTCATAGAATTTTTATCTCAAATTTATAACTTCTTTTCATGTAATGGTGGAATTTTGGTCTCGTGATGTTAGAACATAATTTCTCAAGATGTTGCAATAAATTTCCTAAATATGGAACACTTTGGCCATAAAACTAGAATATTTTCTTCAGGAAGCTACAACATGTTTTAAATTTATAAGAAAAAAATCATCTTAAGTTGAAACATTTTATTTTAAGATAGCACATTCTTTTCCCCTAAAGTTACAACACTTTCCTAATTTTGTGTGTATCTTTTATTTTAAGGTAGAAACATTGAAAATGTCATAATTACTATAAATATTAGAAGTAATTAGGATATATGCTTGTCGAAGCACGGCTATGCAAAGACTAATAAGATATGGCAAGCAAACACTAAAAATTGTGTGCAGATGCAAGTATGAATCAGAGCAAATTGTGTATGCACGGTCATCACTGCTCCTTCATCTACTGCATGCACGGTCAGCTCAGGTTCACCAATAATCAAATGTAAAACCATTGCACAGCCATGCTCTTTTCACCTCTTTGTTTCCCCTTTACCAAACACCATACATTACTCCTTTTGCAAGTTACATATATCTGAGTACAATATTTCTGTTACACAAGACAAAGCAACCGAGCTAAAAAGAATCGATATAAAGTCAACATAGCAGAAAAGAAAAAAGAAAAAGAGCTTTTTTCGGTTTTGACAACACAATTTATACAGCAGGAAGCATCCAATCCTCCACTCTAGAACAAGGCAATCCAAATTCAGCCTCCAGAAATCTTCGTATTTGATGGATTTTCAGTGTGTATGTTTCTGGGATTCGAATGGCTTCAAGAATTGGATATCAAAATGAATTCACGCTTGTGTGAACACAGCAAAGCAGATACAAAATCCTAGGACTACACAGATTGTACAGCAACAAGCAGGCGTCTTATCAGAGAATGGTGCATCCACATCTGTTCTGCTTGGGGGAATTGGCAAGCTGCTTCTCTGGAAAAGTATAGGTGAACGACATGTTAGAGGTATGTTCACAAGTGCCAAAAGAAAATCACAATAGCTTTCAGCATCATAGTCAAAATCATATTAAACCACAAATAGAAGTTACTTAGTATGCTTGTGGCCACGTATCGCACTATCACCACCCAAACATTCCACCACATTAACTAAATGCTCATGTAGGCACAAGTTCTATCTAAAGAAACCTAAGCACCTCAAGACTTGCTGCATTGAAAATTATGAGAAGGTTGTGTCATGGTTTGTGTGTTCGAAAGTTTGCATCTCTGGGCATCATTAGTGGTGGTGATAGTGCACACACACACACACATTGTAGGTACACGTACACATGAGAAAACTACTCCCGTATATTAGCAGCTCAGCTCATAACTCGAATACAGGTATTTGACCTGCAATGTATTGTGAAAAAATTACTGAAACTAAAGGTTTAAATTCCCATGGAGTAACTGGAAATATCTTTCAGGCTGTGATATTTGGATAACAGAGATCCATCCCTAGATGCATTCACTGCCACAAGAATGGGAGCAGTATGTTTCCAGCACAAGAGTTGATCATGACGAACACTTCGATTAAATATATGGAAATAGAATTCAAGTTATTTGTCATAGGAACTAAGAAAATGTTATGAACAAAGGGCTGAAATTGTCGGCAATACCACTGTTTTTGTCAGCTTGTGGAGGTCGCACTACCACATGCATTGTAATTACACCTCCTGGAACCTCTCCTACTGGAACACGGGACTCTGCAAGTGTCCGGTTATTCTCCAATATCCTTCCAGCATTGATAAGCTTCAAGTCATTAACAGTTTTTGGAGCTATATCCTTATCTGTTAGCAAAAATGAAAATAACAAATTCCATTCAGCAAGTAAGAACGACAGGCATGGATTGCAAAACAGAGAATTTGCACGGGAAAAGTTCCAATGTGTAGGACAATATGACAACACAGTAAGTTTCCAGCATAATCAACCAAGGGGTCTCAGAGACAGAAAATACAATATGCTATTGCACAATTCCCAGTTTGAATTTTGAAATGCAAACTGAGAAACTGACGAAGCTAGCAGAATAGATGCAGACACCCTTCAAATAGATGACAGAAGGAATATATCATGTCCATGACGATTTGCATACTTATGTTCGGATCAACACATGCATGCATGTGCAAGTACATGTTGCTTATGTTGTGAATGCAGGCAAAATTATCAATATAGTTTCCACTTTCCACATGTTGATTCAGCCAGAAAGGCTCAATTTTTACTTGATCTAGTCCAGTTCTCATGTGGGAGCACCTCATTCAAGTTTTCATGAAGTCAAGCCAAGGGAAGTTCCTTCACCAAGTGGGAGAATCAGAGAACTGTCGTTACTAACATTCCAAGTATTCGTTATCAAAAGATTTGCTTTCTACCCACCAAATCGTTAATATTCTTTATCCAATATAGATAAATTATTCGGTTGTACAAGAGTAACTAATTATTTCTGAAGATTTTTTAAAATGACTTCTGCTGGCTTACAAAAGATGCTCTGACTGTTTAAGTGAAACAGTGTAGATCAATCTGCTGCTTAGTGCTTACACAATGTTTTCTCAGTAACTTTCACGTAACACGGGACTAGCGTCTACTATGGCTTGCTGACCAACATGCTTATAAGTGAGCTGACATCCAAACCATATCTCTCTGCCATAATATTTAATACAGCCCAAGGTTAAATTCATAAACAGCACAAATGTCCAAACGGTTTCACTTGAATACCAGACCGCTAAGGATTCAGAATGAATTGTTTGCCCTCATCTAATAAGGTGAACAAATCACATGATAGGCAAAATTATTAATGAGAATGTTTATCCATAGTGAAAGGTTGAGCTGTTGCACTTCTGCAGAGAAACTCAGGTTATCTAACAGATGAACATTAAAAGCTTTTCATAGTGCTATAGAACTCCCTTTACAGATTTGAAGAGAGTAAATAATCAGTCAAAAGGTCTACACTCATTAACATGGCCTGTGCACTTTGCTTCTTTTATTACAGCAAACAAAATAAGAGAGACCTTGTTTTTCCATCCGTTCCACTTATGGTTTGTGATATAACTGTTTCCAAAAAAAGCTCTTTCACTCACAAAATTAGCAATTGGTATTCACGTTTGAGAAGTTCATACCACATAAAGTAAGAACCGAAAGTATCAACTAACTGATAATATGGCACAGCCAGTACTAGGATTCTGCATACACCAAAAAAAAGGAAGGAATATGGCATAGCCAGTCACAGGATACTTCTAAAGCTAATAAACCAATATGGAATAGCCAGTCATATGACACTGCCGAAGCTAATTAGCGAATATGGCATAGCCACTCGAAGCATAATGCTGAAGCTAATATTTGAATAAGGCATAGCCGGTTCTAGGACTTTGCTGAAGAAGAAAACTAAAGCATAGTTTTCCCGCTACTCAACTGACCAGGCATCCAGAAAACAACAGCAACTAAAGGATGCCAAGCAGTCATACGCCACAAGCAAAATAGCTGGAGGTAGCAGGAAGACTAGCGAAACATGAGCACAAAGCGCAAAAAGAAGCAATACATGATCCAAGAAACTCATGACACGGAGAATACCCCTGCACCTAAATTACAAAAGCGTCCGTCGCTTGTCAGCAGATCGGGACAGCACAGGCGTGCACGCTGCCAAATCAATAAGTCTCGTCAGTGCCTCACTGCCTCACCTTGCGGCCACCGAGCGAGGATGAACTCCTTGAGCGAGGAGACTGTGGTGGAGGGATCGTACTTGGTGGGCCCGATGTCCGTGCCGTCGAAGAGCCGGAACCTGACCTCGATCGGCTCCTTCCCGCCGGCCATATCCTCCCCGCCAGATCGCCGCCGGCCGCCGACCACACCTCCTCTTCCCAAGATCCACGAAGCCCCGGATCAAAGGCCCATAGGAGCAAGGAAGCGGCAAAAAAGGAAATCCACAGAAACACACGCAAGGTGGGAATTTGACGACGAATTCTTGCTTCCGCGTTGGGTGAAAGCGAGGGGGCGGCGACTCGGTGGGGGAGGAGAGGAAGACGAGAGCCAGGGAGGAGAGAGGGAGAGACGCGGTAGTGGGCTTCCTCCTCTCGGTGCGTGTATTGACGGATACGCCCAAGCAGAAGTTTTTAATTGCGGTTTTGGCATCGAGCCATGGTGATGATGGAGTGTGAAAGCGAGTGGCGAGGCCGAGGCGGAGCGGGGAATTCTATGCGAGGTGCGAGGCGGAGCGGGGAATTCTATGCGAGGCGGAAACAAATCGCCGGCCGGGATTCGACGTCGGCGATGGCTTTCTATCTCGGGCATTTTGACTGCCTGGGTCTCGTCGAGGGTCTTCTTCCCTGTTATGTACTGCTGCTGTAGTCGCCGGAGTCATGGTTTTTTGGCATTTCATGTGGAAATATCTCTCCCCCTCTCTGTCTCTTCTTTGGTGGTACTGGTAGAGGTCCAACTTGTTTTTCATTTCAAAAGAAACAGTCAACAAATACTACACACCACAATCCAATGATGCATTGCTCTGGGAGAAAGTTTTAGACCTGGATGTGCCGACTGGGTTTTAAGAGTGTATTTTATTCTCGTCTTATGTTGACTCAAGAAGATTAACCTAGATACCTTGAAAATTGAAATGGTAAAAAAAAATCGTTCTTGATCACAGAACTGCTGGCATAAGAGCACGGAGCTCTTTTTATCTCCAGAGCAGTGTATATTTCCTGGCTGGCCAAAGGTCAATCATTCAATCAACATCTGCATTCCACTGGGGAATTATCATGAGCTGGCCTGCGATAGTTGGCTATTATTCTAGGCAACCAACGCATAGAGAGTTTCGGCCATTTGGTGATCACGCGATGTACTCACACTTGCACACCAACCAGAAGTCCAGAACAGCTCAATATCCAGTTTTCCAGGCAATGATCTGCACAAAGTCACAGGCACATGCAAAAACAATGCGAAAATAGTCAAAGGAATACGGCACCCAGATGAATTTCAAGGCAAAAAAAAAATTCAGAAGCGACCCATGCTTAATCTGCAAAGCATTTAATTCAGTCGTTACGTTGCAGCTTTGCTCAGGCAGTCCAAATTTTCAGAACTAGTAGTGTCCTATATGTCCATGGATTAGGATAAGCTGTCTGGAATCGCAGGATGGATGCATTTTGAGGACCGGAAAAGTACGGTAGCCTGGCGACACCAGATGAAACATCAGCCAAAAAGGAAGATTATGACATGCTAACCACTATATGTAAAATAAAATGACTAAACAGCACACAGAAACCGGTGCTTGTCAGATATGCGGCCCGTTCGCTGGTTGGTTTTTGGATTGATAAGCCCGGCTGATGCTGGTTTGTTGTGAGAGAAAAATATTGTTGACTGGCTGATAAGCTCTGGCTGAAATCAACAAGGCTGATGATCCGGTTCTAAAAAAGGGATATCACGAGGACAGCTAAGACATGATAATTGTGCAGGACACAAATGATTGGCAACGCGACGTCCTCCTGGACTGATGGAACTAAACCCTACACATCGTTACAACTATTTTTTTTAAAAAAAAAATCTATACAAGGGCTAGAAATTTTCAGCTGAATCATTGACGCGTTTGCTACCAAATATTCAGTAGTGGTGGTGGTGACGGTGACAGTTCAGGTTTTTTTTCAAGAAAATTTAAGCACCTGTTGGAAGAACTGCAGAGTAATAGGGCGATAGTGCCATTGCATTTCTCGGCTTTGATTATGCTGCGACCTGCAATTTGAGGCAAATCAATCAATATAAGCCTCTGATTTCCTATTACAACCATAGTATTTTTTGAGTACTAGAAAGGAGCTGTTTTTGTAGTGGCAGAGACCACCGAAGTGTCGTGCCGTGCTACTGCTGCTTTCGCCTCCGCAAGCAATGATAGTCTGAGGAATATTTTGAGGAAGCAAAATATCAAATATTTCCAGGCGCCTATTTCCAATTCTCCCCCTAACCTTATCTTCTTAACTTCTTTTAACTCGATTCATTAGTTCATCACTGTCAAAAATATTCAGTGATCTAATTGCTCGATGTGACAGCCTAATTGATACAGCATGCCATCATTTAATTGAAAAATAAGAAGCTGAAAATTACAGGAAGAAGGTTACCAGAAGCAATGGATAAGCTACAGGCCGGCTCGAATTGTTGTTTGGGAGGACTCTTCACCTAACTACCTGATTACAGGTAAGAACACCTGCTGGTTGATGGCTTGATGCTAGTATACTAATACTTGTGCGTCTGCATCACGACACCATCGTTTGTTTATGCCCTCATGGTACTATCATATTGCTCTTGTTCGAGTTTCATATTGTGAGCTGTTTTTTTTTACAAAAAAAAATCGAAGTCATATTATGACCTGTTAGAACGGCTCTTCTTGGCCTGTTTGAGGAATCCAAAAGCACTTGAAATTGTTCCCTCAAAAAAAAAAAAGTTCCAACAGCCTATCACTTTTTATGTATGTGCAAATGTTTATTCTATGAGCAACTTGGAACCTGATCCCCATGCCTTCAGAAAAAGAGAAAAACTTACTAGGAATTATGGGGTTCTATTCTTATCCCATGCATAAAAAGTGATGATTGGATGTATGCAGCACTCCACTACACTTCCTTTTTAAAAAGAAAAAAAAAATCCTCAGGTAATTCCTTTTTTCACATCCATGTTAACATATCACTTTGTCTCTATCTTGAACAGGGCCGCACTTGTGCTAATCTGCATGTTTATTAGTGGAAGAAATTATGTGTGTGCAGCAGATACGCCACTGATTTGTCGTCACACCTCTATGCCTATGCCTTTGCCCCGAGCTACCCCGTAGTGGAGCAGGCATGGGCCTACTGAGATGAGAGATTGAGAGCTGTATCCATTCAGTGCTCGCCAATGAGCAGAGCAGTAGAAAGATGCATCTGCCAAGGATGAGATGAGAACACTGAAACTTTTCAGACAAGTGGAGGATGAAAACCGCGAGAGAGACAGTGGGGTGAACTAAAAAGAAATGCCCCGCTTGCGCTTCTGAAATAATTGCAGGTTTCAGTCCTTGGAGGATGCAGACCGCGTAGGAATCGGAGGCTACGAATTGGTGATCCACTCGCGGACCTGATGTTGTCTGCTGCGGCAAGCAAGTTTCGTGGTGAATGGCTTGGCTTGGTTTGGCTTGGCTTGATTTGACTGTCGACTGAAAGCCCTTCGCTTGCAATTGCATGATTGATTGGCGATTTCAGGCCAACTGTCGAAACGAGGTGCAAAGGAGGAGTAATCGCTATCAGTTTGATGGTGGTAAAGTGAGGTGTTACTTCTAGTGCTCCTGCAAGCAAGTGCCACAGCTCAAATGGCAGGCAGCCAGGCACTGCTGCTTTTCCAATGAGTTCTGAAATTACAGGCACGTCAGTTTGTCTGCTGCGGCATCCAATTTTGATCCGACCTGAACCAGGTGATCGTTAGCATTCTGCTTGTTCGTTTACACATGAACAGGTGCCACTAGGTGAGTGGCTGAGTGCTGCAGAGCAATAGACTGATGAATCAGTGGATCAGTGACAGGGATCACGGCGAAAAAGAAAAAAAAAAGTTCGTGGGAACCGAGTGCAGACGGGCCGAAAATGTGGATCTCAAATGCTTGGGAAGCCCACTCCATAAAAACCGAGGCCTAGAGAACCTTTTTTGGGCTAGGACTAGGAACTTGTGTCAGGGGAGTGGGTTCAATTTTGCATCCCAGATTGGAAAAGAAGTCCACTTTACCTCTATATAAACTATTGTCGTGGTATGATTTTTCTCCTCAAACTCTAAAAGTAAAACTAGATATTTCTATCCATAAAATTCTAGAAACTGTTCAAATTACCTCTCTACTCTGATTTGAAGTGGTTTTGAAGGCGGTTTTCCCCCTTTTTAGTTAAAAAATGATAAATGTGTGACAAGGTTTTAAAACCATGAAAAATGTCTCTGAACTTCTAAAATTTTGATAAAAATCATAGAGATGGACTGGGATACGAGAAATCCAAATAAAAATTTAAAAATCATAAAAATATATCTATAATCTTTAAAATATTAGATTTAGCTCTAGTAAAATGAACAAATATCTAAAAATCTACAAAAAATCGCAAAACATCCTAACTGATGACTAAATGCATTTGGAAAACGTCCAACAATGAAACCGTAAGATGCAACCCGCATTAATGCAGCATTAATGTATGTTGCATTAATGCTAGTTGTATCTCATATATTTTGGCGTGGAAAGTTTTTAAAACATGTTAGATATTGATTATCAGCATGTTCGTTTGGTCGTAAACGATCGTAAATTTTCAGCCAGAGCAGTGTTTTTCTCTCACACCAAACCAGCCAGCAGTAAATAATCCACGATCGCTTACGGCCTCCCGAACAGGCCGTATAATGTTTCAGGAGTTTACCATGCTTTTTGGGATATTTTCTCATTTTATTATAGCTAAATCTGATTTTTTTAACTTCTAAAGATACTTTCATGAGTTTTTTCTAAGCTTATAGACAATTTTTGTGGTGTAAAAGTATTTATCAAAAAATTTATTAACTAAAAAAAGAACGACCGCCTTTAAAACCACTTCAATCCACAACAGAGAGGTAATTTGAACAATTTTGAAAGTTGGGGGATAAGTTGTTTGGTTTTAAAGTTTAAGAAGATAAGTCAGACCGAGACAATAATTCAGTGCGGTATAATAGACCTTTTCCCAAATTCAACAATAAAACCTCCTTGAAAGCTGAGCAGGCCTTCCCTTCTCTCTTCATCGATGCCCCTAGAGCCTCTAAACTTTTGAAGTGTGATCCCAACTCCATCTCATCTAGTGACGTAGTCTGGTAATCTCAACATTAGCACCTTGATTATGCCTTCTGTTTGGAGCGTCACCTTCGGGCTCCAAAATTTTTCTTATTTTAATAAAAAACTTAATGTTAAAAATCATGCTCCAAACTAAAATTTCAAGAGCTTACCTTTTAAGTCACGGCACATATTATGGCGCAACTTACCACCTAAGTCATGTCACTGCATGTGTGGCATGACTCGAGATGCCACATTGGCCTCTCAAGACGGAACCAAACACGTGGAGACGTGGCAAACTAAGTCGCGCCATCAGCTGTTGGCTGTAGTGCATATAGGCTATATGCAACTGCCACAACGTCGTCCATCCTGCTTCTTCCTACCGGGCGTGGTGTTTAGTGGCCTGGAACGAAACTAAAATTAGGGCCCTTTAATATAAATATTGAAAATTGAAAAAAAAAATATCACACCAAAAGCATTATTCATCATACAAAACAAACCTATTATTACTTTAGAGTTAAGTCGACGTGATTTCATGATGATGTTATCATTATCAAGCGTTTCAACTATTTCTTATTAATGTATATAAGGTTACCATACCGTCTAACACATCACGAACATTGTATAGTCTCTCAGCAACTAGACGAAGGTAAACATTAAGGAATAACCAAATAATTGTTTCACAAAAAAAGAAATAACCAATTAATTAGTTTATTATTCGTGGGTTGTTGCGTTGTACAAGCAATAATCAATCATCATTTACACAAAGTATTGGGCATAGGCATAACTGCTAAATATTATCTTTAGGGGTGGTTTGGATCTTTTCATTTAGAGGAATTGAAATCTACTTAATAAATTAAGTTATTTGACTTGAAATTTGACGTTCCATCACTTTCCAAAGTTCACATATAAGCATATCTCAAATTCATAGGGTGGAAGATGAAAATTGATTCTATAGATCACCATTGTATATTTCTACTTTACAACTTATAACACGCTCTTCAACTCGCTTCCCTATGACAGAAATGCAACACATAAGTATCTCTCTCGTATAGCCAACAATAATATACAAATACAATTCATATACAACCATATTAGCTTAATTAATATATGTCTAAATTATAATTATTAAAATGAATTCAATTCCAAAGATACTAACGAGGCCTTATTCATAACATCTTGCTATCAAGTGATTCGGTCTTGGTGACCACTAGCCACCGATTCGGTTTCGGAGCTCTTCAGCTGATGGTTTATGCGGCTGATAAACCGACTGAAGCTGATTTGTTGTGAGAGAACCCTGTTCGCTTGAACTACTTCAGCGATATTTTTTGATGAACGAACAATGTTTTTCTCTCACAAAAAATTAGCATAAGCATCATCATAAGCTAAATTTCAATAAAAATTGTTCCATGATTCATAAGGCATGTTAATAAATTCAAGCGAACAGGGCCACGTAGTTACATTTCTTTTGACCGAATGATAACATGGTTACCTCTCTCCTTGACCAATGCACCACCTCAGATGCTCTAATGTAGCAACTCTAGTCGCGTCCAACACACAGTGGTGTTTGAGTTGAACCACATGTCATGGCATGGACTACTAGTTACCAGAAACTTATGCTGATTTGTTGCGAGAGAAAAAAACATTGTTGTTTACTGAAAAGTACTACTGAAGTAGTACTGAGGAACAGGACGTTAGTTTAGGACATGTTTTTTTTTATAGTAATTTAGTATTTTTATATTAAAATAAAAAATCAAGTTGCGGTAGTTATCTGCAGCCAGGCCGGCGATCAGACGAAAGCGAAGAACAGAGCGCACCTGGCGCGACCCCGGCCGTTGGTTGACTCGTAGCCCGTGACCCAGCCGCCTGTCAGGAGCCCCCTCTCATTCAGAGCTGTACGCGTTTCACGGTTTCAGTATCCAAGCCTGCAGTCTCGTTCATATACGAGGGCGCCGACTTTGGTCGGTCTGGCACTGGCGGATGAAGCCGATCCTTTTGAGATGGACAGTTGGACACCGCCACACCGGCCGCACGGGCGGATCAACATCATCGTATCCTTCCAGCTGCCAGCTGCCACGCCCGCCCACGTAACGCGCGGCGATTCCAGGGCAGCCCACGGATCCCATCCGACTCCGATCCCATCTGATCCAACGGCTGCTGACCACAACCGATGATGACACGGCGTTATCCGTACGAGGCCGCGGCTCCACGGGCTCCTTCCACGCGCCCATGCCGCTTGGCTTTCCGTTCCACTAGAAAAATTGGCGATCCATCCAGCCCAACGTGGTCCGAGCGATCGAGACTCGGGCAGGTGCGAAACGACGGAGGGACGGCCCCGGCCGGGCGGGCTATTAATTGGCCGGGCGCATGCACGGGCGTTTTGGCAAAGGGAGCGCGCGGCGAGGCGTCTTGTCTCGTCACGGACGCTCGGGCGCCCGCGACTTCCTGCCTTCCCGGAGATAGAGGAGCGTATAAAACGCGCGCCGATCTCCCCCGTCCCACCCCCTCGGAACAACACGCGCTCGACGCGGGCTCTCTTCTCCTCGCCCGCCCCACCGACCGATCGGCTTCGGCGCGCTATATATCCATCCACCAGTCATCATCCCCATCCGATCAGATTACATTATCCGATCGATCCGCCCGATGATGCTGCTGTTCGAGCCCCACTCCGCCGAGAAATTCAGCGCCCCGATCTCCGGCCTCCGCTCCCTTCTCGTCGTGCCCGACGCCGACGCCGCCGCCGGCACCCGCGGAGGATGCGTCGTGACGCGGGCGGCCGTCGCCGCGCACGGCTGCGGCCATCGTGAGGACGTCAAAGAGAGACGCGACGACGGAACCAGCCTTGGGCACGGCGAGGATCTCGAGACAGCAAAGGAGGATGATAATATGGAAGCAAAGGATAGGGAAGAGGCGAGAACGGAAGAGGAAGATGAGCTGGATGGATTCTGGGTGTCGTACGGGCGGCGGTGCCCGCGGCGCCGGCTGCCCCCGCCCATCCCGTCGCTGGTCGCCCGCGGCGCGCTCAGGCGGACGCGCACCGACGACGGGAGGCTCGTCATCCGGATAGTGCCCGTCGTGCGGCCGGAGTGCATCCGCCCCCGCCGCCGCCGCGACCGCCCCGTCGAGCACGAGGACGATCCTCCGATGGTGCCGCCGCCGCCGCTTCGGGAGCTGACGGCCGCTGCGCCGGAAGATGGCATCAGGATTAACGTTGCACATCAGGCGGACGACGACGCGGCCACGCCGGCTGCAGGAGAGGGCGTGCTCGACGTAGAGGACGACGCGGTGGCGGCACCCGCGGAGACGCTGCCGGTGGCGGTGCCTCCGCCGCGAGTGCCCTCCGTAGGATGCTTCGAGTTGGTGTTCAAGCTCGGATCCATCGGTAGCAGCTCGCTGCACCAGATGCCCAGCCTGAGGATGGTGCATTGAGCGCCACCTTCGAATTGGGACAAGAAATTTTGTAGCTCCGTGTGTGTATATATATAGCGCCTTGTAAATGATAAAGAATGCTCTAGTTGGCGAATGGTGAAGAGAGTAGCTAGTAATCTTCAACGGAAGTTGGTCTCAGCATGGAACATGGCATTATACATGATCTTCAACATCAGTTTATCTCCGCGTGGAACATGGTAAATTGGTTGTCTCCATCTTCGCCCTCATTGCGATTTGCGAGGATGGAACATGGCAATCTCTACAGGACCTTTTCGGTATCTCTGGTATGTTCGTGTTTCATGTATATGAATCAGTGGCTGTGCGACAATAATATGATTAAGGGCTATATACAATCTAAAAGGTTCAAGTGACTAGTATATTTAAGGGCTATACAATGTAAAAGGTTCACGTGACATTGTTCAGACGACAGTTACTAATTAGGACTATCTCACAATCAAGTCCTCGAATGTAAACGAGATTGAACATAAGAATTATAGAGGAGAGACCGATTGCTTTATTGATCTTGTTTGCTAATTATAACCGTTTTGGTTTTTCTTGATACACTACTTTTTACTGTATATCTAGACTTAGTGTACATCTAAGTGCATTACAAAGTTTTCCAAAACAAACTATTTTGAAATTGAGGGAATATTTATCAAGTGACAGTATTCAACCGACAATTACTATTAGACTATCTTGTTTGGAATCAGAGTGAACGTAAACTAGAGACATAGACTGAACACAAGAATAAGAGAAAGAGTGTCTTTGATCTTGTTTGTTACAAACTCCCTCCATTCCAAGTCCACTCCAAATTATAAGTCGTTCTGACTTTTCTAGGTTCATAGATTTTTCTATGCGTCTAAATATACATCCTGTCTAGAAAAACTAAAACGATTTATAGTTTGGAACGGAGAAAATATTATATTATTTACACATGGAGAAGAGACATGAAGAACATGCATGACCGTTCGGAGGCATCCCTACCGAACAGACGATGACAAAGCCTCGTCACTAATCCGTGGACAAACTATTGGATGAGGTCACCATTGTTGATTTGGAGCTTGACACTCCCCTAGATAGAATCTAATCTTGTGATCAATTAGATGTTTGGAATCCTCCAAAAACTTATAGGTGAGGTAATAATATTATTGATATGCTATTAAACTCCTTAAAAATCTGGTAACAAAAATAATGATAAATGAGACAACATATTATAGATTTATTGTTCATCGTAAACTCATATGAGAAAAACATATCATCCATAATATGATAGTGATAATGAGACTAAGATACCTAAGGACTTGACGATGAGGTAAACTCATATGAGAAAAACCTGTCAAAATGTAGTTTGTGTTAATTCAGAACTTGAGAATTTTCCACCCTATGCAATAAGACACTTGCATAAATATCCTTTCCCCTGCACAATGTTGTGAATTGTTGGAAATAATTAACTCACATGTGGTATATAACTAAAGGTCATAAGAAAAAGAGGAGGGGGGTCATAATATTATTAGCTGGAATTTTGGTGTTGTAATTACGAAATCTCTCATGGTTCTTGGTCTTTTATATGTTGTAACCCAAGGAGTAATCCTGTGAGTGCCGGTATGTTGTCACGCAAGCGCAAGGAGCAAGGCTTGAAAGTAACCATGGCCCCGTTCGCTGGTCTGAAACTTAGCTGAAAAACACTGTTCCGGCTGAATTGTTGTGAGAGAGAAACACTGTTGGCTGGTTTGATGAACAGTGCAACGGGAGGGGAACCAGCCGGCTGAACTTTTCAGTTCATACCAGCGAACTGAGCGCATATGTGGAGCTAGTGGTAATGATTGATCATGTACAACTATTAAGTACTAACATTCCAAGAAGGTATGTGTATATTTGTATAATCCGATGTGTAAAGATCAAACGACTCTTATAAATTTTTACTTAGATTGATTAAATAAAGTTCATTGATGCGAATTGTAGCACTTCTTAGATTCAAAAAGCTGCATTGATGAAGCGTGATGTCTAGGGCAATGAGAACACTGAGGAAGAATGATCTCATGGTGTACACAAAAAAAATACTATAAGGATGTTGCTTAATGAGAAAAAATGTACTACCTCCGTCTCAAAAAGAATGTAACCCTCGCTTCCCGAGGAGAAAGATTCTTATTTTTGACCAAATACAAATAAAAAGATATTAATGTTATGATATGTAATAAGTATCATTGGATTAGTCATGGAATATAGTTTCATAATAAACCTAACCGGAGATTCTATAAAATTAGTCAAACTTAAAGATTCTTTGACTCGTCAAGAAACGAGATTTACATTCTTTTTTGGACGGAGCGAGCAATGCATTTGTACTTGTGCATGGATCAAAGACGATAGGGTCGCGTGGATCAAATAATTTGAAGGGAAGTTGTAATGAACTTGACTACATGATCGCTTGCTTTCTTTAATTTGATTTGAAGTCTATGATTGTAATACTCCTTTCATGCTTATATAATCTTAATGTGGCTCAAAACAACATGGTGTTAAGATCAAGACATCAAGTACTCCCCCGTCCCATAACAAATGTCATTCTCATCTCCCGAGGAGTAAAAAAAAACTTTAACTTTGACCAAATATATAGAAAAGAATACTAATATTTATGATGCACAATAAGTATCATTAGATTAATCATTGAATATATTTTTATAATAAACTTATTTGAATATACAAATATTGCTGATATTTTATCTAAACCTAGTTAAACTTGAAAATTTGTTCCACATGGAATTCATAGTGACACTTATTTTGGGAGAGAGGGAGTAGATTATAGTATTTGGTGATCCAAAAGCACTATGTTTTTTATACTCTTTTTAATTGGAATTTTTAGCCCCCAACGAATAAAACCTAGTAAGATCCTATCTAAATTGTGGAAAATTTTCAATGTTCCTATGCCATGAAATTGAACTGATTCTTGCCAAAATTCAGTGAAATTCCTCGGTTCCAACAAAAAGGCCCTAAAAATAAAAAGACGCGGTCGTTCCAGATGGGTCTACCCTGCATTTGACACCTGGAGACTGGAGTTGAGTCACTTGCGTGTCTACTGGTGGTTGTAGTCCAGTCTTCAGTGATTCAAGTCCTGTCAACTACTAGGACTAGCATCAGGCCCACGTGGTAGTCGCTCACTGCACTGGAGCCAAGTGCATAGGAATTCCGTTTCGTCCCCTCGCATCCTTGTCCTACCTCCTCTTGTGCCGCAGCTCATCGCCGCCGCCGCAGGGCGCAGCTGCCTCGTGCTTCCGCATCGCGGCTCGTCTTCGACCTCCACCTAATCCCTGAGGTGCGGGTAGAAGCGGGGGATGTATCTTGGGCCCGGCGAGGCCGCACCGGCGGCGGAGTTCGGTCCTAGAAGAGATGGTGGGCGGCCCTAATGCCACGGGCTTGGTCAAGAATGACGCAGTCTCCGTCGTCACGGAGGTAATCGTTGAGGTCTCGTGATGGATTCAGGCTAGGTTTTGTGCGAAGTTGCGAAATGCGGCGAAATTGGTAGGATCGGTGCGTGGGAATGGGGTTTTTCGTCCCTCCTTGTCCCTCACGGCCTCCCTCTGTTGCGAGTTGCGAGCCTTTCTGCTCCTGCTCCTGCTCCTCTTCCCTGACGGCCTGCCCTATCAATCACAAATTCACAATTGCCCCCTCTCTCTCTCTCCAATCATGGCATCTCTTGTCTATTCTCGCCTGGTCGATGGCCGGATAGCGCAATGGTGAGAAACTACTCTAGCGGCACTTTTCTTCCACACTGCATTTCTTGCCCGAGCCCTTCTCTCTCATCTTCCTTTTTCCAAGAAAATTATATGGTTCTTTTCACCACTGGGTATCAGCAGGTTACGTCTTGTTGTCATCATGGTGGGAAAAAACTCTAGGATGTCGCTTTCTTGGAGTGGGCTCGAGCATTGCGGTCGGTCGCGCGGCGCTTCTTGGCCCTCCTGTGATGTGATCGCGGTACGGTATGGTTGGGGTTTGGAAGGCTGGGCCCTTTGCGTTCTTGCTCTCTCGATTTGTGTTGATGCGAAATCCAACTCGTGGACTCGCCTTCTTGGATTTGTTCTAACGCCTAAGCATTTTGTGTATGGAATGGCTCAAAAACCACATCTTTCTGTGCCCGTCACGCTTTGTCACGAGTTGGTTGCCTCCTTTTTCGTGTCTTTTCGACTTCTTTCCCATCTTTATAGGATTATTACTGGTGTGATCTACCGTGCGATTGGTCTAGTTGGTGTTATGTATTGTCCTGTTAATGATCGGCAATTTGAAGCAGCCCTCAAATTAATCTTACCGGCTTCTTTGTTACTATTGATCCAATTCTTGTTAGAGTCTTAGAGAAACATGAACTATTCCAATCTTGCTTATTGCATTCACTTTTAGTAATTCAGTGCTTAGGTTTGTTTTCTTGAATCTACCATCCTGTTAATGGCCAGTAATTGCAAGTGGATGTTTGATTTTGTTGTACCGTGTTAGTTGTTATCGGAGCAAGCTCCCATTCTTTGTTAGGAAACTTTTGATTAACATTTTTAAGGCAGGGATAGCAAAGGCTCAAAGCTTCACCACAGTCATGCTTAATCAATTTGATTTTCCTCCCATAAGGTTCTGTTGGTTAATAGTCTCTTCCATAGACCAAAATTAGGATAATTACTACTACTTCTGTCAAAAAAGAATGCAGCTAGGTTTATACTAAGTTAAATTTTCTAAGTCTGACTAGGTTCATAGAAAATAGAAGCAATATTTATGTCTCCAAATGGATTTACTATAGAAATATATTTAATGATTAATCTAATGATACTTATTTGGCATCATAAATGTTACCACTTTTTTATATAGATTTGGTCAAAATTTAAAATTAGTGGACTTCTTAAAAAACAAGAATCACACTATTTTTTGGACGGAGGGAGTTAAGAGTGCTACCGTGGCTAGCTATTCCTGTACTTTTTCATCAATGCATCCTCTGCAGTTTACCTTATGAAACCTCTAAAAACACAATT